GTTAAACAATGATTGAATTCCATGACGACGGAAGATGTTGAATCACCAAACCCCCCTGCAGAAAGGGTGATCAAGCCGGCCTGCCTCCAATCTCTAATCAGATTCACGACAAAATGCGGCATATCCCTGATAGCCAACTGGCGCCTACTGTACCGTCTGGTTTCTTCCGTGAGGGATTGATTCTTTCTTGGTGTGACTCTGGTGGGTTGTGGTGTGAAGCTGGTCTTTTGGATTGCGCGCGAGGCGTGCGGTTCCAGAAGACCAGTCTTTGATATCCCGCAAAGCGGAATTATCAAAGACTTGCTTGCCTACCAAAAGTTGATGATACTCTTTAGCATCTACAGTAGGAGCTATTGCATATTGGCCCGCACATTCAATAGATTTGATTGATTCATGAGTCATTCGTCGTGCTTTCCAAGGTCTTGAGTCACGAATTTATTAAAGGCGATCGTCCTGTGGCTGTACAGTACCTGGTACCTGGTACCTGGTACCTGGTACCTGGTACCTGGTACCTGGTACCTGGTAGAACGAGCAGCGGGTTCAGCCCAGTTCAACTTTAAAAAATTACTACAGTCGTATGGTGACTACTATTGAAGGCTAGACTAGTGCTGTATATAAATCCCTAGCTCAAATCAGTTTCTACCAAGGTCTAACCAGGACAGCAGCTTGTTGGGACTATCGTGTCAATAGGCAGTACAGTACGTAATGAGTTTTGTCATATGGCATCATCTATCACAGGGCAAATTCAAATGCTTTCGAATAGTACCTGGTACACGTGTACCTGGTACTGAATCAGCCCGTTTTGCCTCTTGTTGAGTGATGATAGTATACGGTACCAGGTACCACCGGTATATGCGTTGGGACCACAACTCTCGTGACAAATAGTCATCGAAGGCAAACATTTTCCGGTGAAAGTAAAAGCATGATTAATGGGTGATACAATGATAAAACCTAATAATCACCCCAATGGTTCTAGAAATGCTCCAAATGCAATCATCTACACACCAGGAAATGTCCTCTGCTGAAACAAACTCTACAAGAACGCTTGTCGATCCAGAAAACCAGCCATTTGAAAGGAATGAACTTACCGTTGAGGAAGGGCGAGCAACTGCAGGGACATCCAGGGTGGCACCGTCCCATCGAAGTCCTTGTTCTCGAAGACCATTGAATGTCCGCGAGTTGAAAAAAGGAGAAGGCACAACCAGAAAGAGACCTTCCAGCTTGTCGAGGCTGTCTTCTCCTAACAGAACTTCCTCACGATGACTGAGCTCTCTGATCCAAGTTTACCCCCCTTGTCCACTCATTGCCGTCATAGAAGCTCTTCCAAGAGGATGTCTTATTCGGGTGAGATCGTAGAAGGAGACGACGAGGAAGAAGTCAGAAAGAGAGCTTCCAGATTGTCCAGAGTGTCGTCACTCGAAGGAGGCGATTACCAACAGCGACCTTCCAGTTTTTCCAGGAGACTCGCCTATCCTCGAGTTTGTTTTCTTCTTTAAGTGATGATTTCTTTCAAGATCTTGATGACCATGACGACGACGATGGCATGGAAATGACTCCAGAAAAGGGTGCTGACAGTAGCTGTACGAATGATCTACGCCTCATTGCCGCCTCATTGCCGCCTCATTGTCATTGTCATTGTCATCCGCTGCATCTCAAGAATCATGATCATCCCCATTATGGATTCTTGGCCTAGTTTGATCGAGGAGTCAGTCCCACTTCGTTGATGGATGCCATTTGCGATCCCTTTCATCCCAACATGATGGATCATCAACAACAACAGAAAAAGCAACAACAATACGAGACTTTTGGAGCGCCACCCGCCGTTCGAGATTTAATGGCTTCCTTTTCGTCGTCGTCGTCGTCGTCATCCGAGGACGAATCGTCGGTAGATGGCAGTGCTGCAGCTGCTCCTGGCACACCTTCGCCCAAGCGATATCGGCAAAGGATCCTTCCTTTCATAAAGATGGTAGAGATTGGGGAACATCAGAAGCTTGTGACATGAAAGTCACGCAACATCTATTGGATCTACTGACAATGATGGAGGAAGAACAAGAGGAGTGAGTACTAATAAGAACTCTTTGAGTGTCGTCAACAATGGACTTCACTCCATGGCGGCAGCGACAATTACGGCCTCAAGCTGGGGAGCGAAGAAGGGGAAACTACAACAATACTGCGATGCTCGTATTTCAAAGGCCAAGCTATTATTAATCCAAGGCAATTCGTGGAGCCCAATCTGCGATATGAAGGGATGTAAGATAGTGTTATTCGCTTAGAGGTGCTTGGACATCATTTCAATACTGCTGTAGGCGGTTCCGACGCATCGATCATCACATCAAACATTCATGGATTGTTACCTCGTTCTAAATCTGTCTAAATCCTGGCTAACGCCAGGATCATAGCGTATGTCATCTTGCGACGCCATGCGTGAAACCAGCACTGTGTTGTATAGCCCCTTCATTGCAATCCTATATTGCTTTCTCCTCTTTTCTTCTCTCTTCGTTTTTTCTTTCCTTTTCCTTTTTTCTTCCTCTCTCCCCTTCTTTTCTCCCTAGTATAAACTGCTCCACCAGCATAAAATAAAAACCGGCAGATTGTGTTTTTAGTCGCAGTAGTCGTCCAAAAGCAAACTTTCGAGATGATGATGCTTGTTATTTGACAATATTAAAATGATGATGAACTTATTTTGCGTCCATTCCATTATGGAGGCTTCGTCCCTTCAAATCTCAGCACTAAATGTTCCAAGAACACCACCGCCTTAGGTTGATTTCGCTGTGAAATTCCAGGTAAGTCGACAACTATCATTACGAGGAGCTGCAAACGGTCACGGAGAGAACAACTGAAAACCTGCCGAAAACGTGGTCAAACTTTTCGCTTATCCAGTCTTGGCCGTTTCTAAACTGCTTCCTTCAATTTCACTTTTTTCACACTCCAAATGCTCACAAAATCAAAGCAGGGGCTTTATTTTGTCACGAGAGCTACTCCAAAGGAGAGCTACTCGAATGTTCATTCGACCGCTACCGTGCTTCGATTGCAGTAAGACAGGCCTTATGGGGTTTGCATGCAAGAGTACTACTGCGACACCAACTCTTGGAGTATTTGGCTGAGAGTTTTGGCGTGCAGTAGGTGAGTGCGTAAGTCGTTTTGAACCCAATACACAACACACATACTTCTTTG